CTTATAGGGGTCCGCTGATGAGAGGCATCTGGCATTTCAGTTCTCGGGCCAGGCGTTTAGAGCCGTTTAGGGCTCCGGGTGTGCGGCTTAAGGCGTCTTCGGGTTTGACGTTTTCAGGTTTTAGGGTTTAGGGTTTAGGGTTTGGGTCTAGGGCTCAGGTTTAGAGACAGAATGTTATGTGTACATGTAGTTCCTATGACTTGATATTAATAACAATAATCCGCCCAAGAACTGTGCGAACCGATTGGCTGCCAATGTACATGGAGACCTTTCTCATGGGCCCGATTACCGGACATTGTTTCAACAGCACCCAAGCGATGACATCCTTTCAGGGTCCCTTGGACAGAGCTTGTGCTGGGGTCCTTCTTAGATGTGCTGATGTGGCACATATCCTTCAGCCGAAAACCCGAAAGCCCGAAGTGTCTTGCGTACGTATTTCTGAACAGTCTGCCCAAAAGCCCAAGCTTGAAGCGGTTCATCAGCCAGAGCCCTGAATCAAACCCTTCGTGGACTGGAGCTTTCGACCCTTGCTGCGAAAGTCATGTCGGCCACGCTGGAGGTCTGCCTGCTCAGCGGTAAGACAGCCACAGTGGAAGTAAGTTTGGATGAGGATGTCACGACATTAACACGTCGGGCAGAGATCGCACTCGGAGTTGGAAGAGGGCGCTTGCTAGACGCATCTGGAAACATTCTGGCCTCACACACACCAGTCAAAGAGGCCAGGCTACAGACTGGTGACTCGTTGACCTTGCATGTAAGCCGAGTTCAAGTGTCTGCGACGGCTTGTGCTTTTGCCGCCGTTCTTGGCGACACTTCCACCGTGACCTGGGGTGATGCTCTCTCTGGCGGGGACAGTACTGCTGTGCAGCGTCAGCTGAAGGATGTGCAGCAGATCCAAGCCACTGGCTACGCTTTTGCTGCAATTCTTGGTGATGGATCCGTCGTGACCTGGGGCGATGCTGACTACGGTGGTGACTGTAGTGCTGTGCAGGATCAGCTGATGAATGTGCAGCAGATTCAAGCAAATGAAGGTTCTTTTGCTGCCATTCTTGATGACGGATCTGTCGTGACCTGGGGTGATGCTGGGTATGGTGGTGACAGTGGTGGTGTGCAGGATCAGCTGATGAATGTGCAGCACATCCAAGCCACTTGGGACGCTTTCGCTGCCATTCTTGGCGACGGATCGGTCGTGACCTGGGGTGGGGCTGATCTTGGTGGTGACAGTAGTGCCGTTCAGGACCAGTTGAAGACTGTGCAGCACATCCAAGCCAGTGACGGTGCTTTTGCTGCCATTCTTGGCGACGGATCGGTCGTGACCTGGGGTGGGGCTGATCTTGGCGGTGACAGTAGTGCCGTGCAGGACCAGTTGAAGACTGTGCAGCAGATCCATGCCAGTGACGGTGCTTTTGCTGCCATTCTTGGCGACGGATCGGTCGTGACCTGGGGTGGTGTTTGCTATGGTGGTGACAGTAGTGCTGTGCAGGCTCAGCTGAAGAGTGTGCAGCAGATCCAAGCCTCTCCATATGCGTTTGCCGCCATGCTGGGCAATGGATCCGTCCTGACCTGGGTTGATTCTGACTCTGGCGGTGCCAGTTGTGCTGTGCAGGATCAGCTGAAGAATGTGCAGCAGATCCAAGCCACTGGCTACGCTTTTGCTGCCATTCTTGATGACGGATCTGTCGTGACCTGGGGTGATGCCTGGTATGGTGGTGACAGCAGTGCTGTGCAGGTCAAGCTGAAGAATGTGCAGCAGATCCAAGCCACTAAGCGCGCTTTTGCTGCCATTCTTGGTGATGGATCTGTTGTGACCTGGGGTCATGCTGACTACGGTGGTGACAGCAGCGTTGTGCAGGCTAACCTGAAGAACGTGCAGCAGATACAAGGCAATGACCGCGCTTTTGCTGCCATTCTTGGTCACGGATCCGTCGTGACCTGGGGTGCTGCTTCCCATGGTGGTGACAGCAGTGCTGCATCAGATCTGCTTGCATCGTTGGATCATTCGTCTACGCAAAATCTACGCCACTAGGAAAGCACGCGGCCTGTATGGGATTCAGGATCTGGGTAGTTCTCTAAATTAGTATCCCTTTCTAGGTCCCAAATATGGTACGGCACCCGTACAAAACGGAACCCCTGAAACCTGTAGAACCCTTACAGTACCCTTATGGAAACCCTGTAGGAGCCCTTATAGATCCACTAAAGGCCCTAAACCCTAAACCCATTAAAGGAACCCTAAAGGGGACCCTTAGTTTAAAGCACTACCCATCTAGGGGTTTCGGGATTGTGGTTCAGCTGCCCATATTTGGTAACATGTTTTAGACTTGCAGGTTTAGGGTTTGGGGCTTGGGGCTTGGGGCTTGGGGCTTAGGGTTTAGGGTTTAGGGTTTAGGGATTAGGATTTGGGGTTTAGGGTTTAGGTGACATGTTTCAGACGTGCAGGGCCGATTTCAGGTTTGGGAGCACCAGGTCCGCCGGCTTCGTTGAGGTTTCTGAAAGTTGGCCCTGCCAGGGGCCCGAAGCATTGCAACTTCGATTCTTGAGGGTACCTGAGTATAGTTAGGGTTTAGGGTTTAGGGTTTAGGAATGTATCCGTAAACCCTAAGTCCTAAACCCGAAAAACCCTAGTGAAAGGGTGAAGGCCCCTGTACTGAGGTGTCCGGATCGTTGAAAAAACCGCAAACCTGAAGCCTTAATCCGATTGCAAAACCTTAACTTTAAGCAAATTTAGGTGTCTAGGGTTTAGGATTTAGGGTTTAGGGTTTAGGATGTAGGGCCTGAAAACATGTATACTTCATCATAGATTCTCGTGGTAATCCCCGTAACGGCTCGTAGCACCCAAGCCCTCGTCTACCTATTCAGCCCTGTGTTTCATAAACTTATATAGACCTTTTCCAGCAAATATACCCTAAACCCTAAACCCNNCCCCTAGGCCCGAAACCCTAAACCCTCATGGAAGCCCGATCCGAACACCCGAAACCCTTTCTCCTGGTACCTAGAGCCTCCGAAGCTTTCCTTTAAGTCGCGGGATATGACTCAAGGCATACTACAGTAAGGATCCCCGTCCAAGCTTTAAGGTCTATTCACCCTAAACCC